AATACACCCAATTAAGTGCAATCATATATGTTTTGCTATTATATTATTATGTAATAGTTAATGCTCATACCAACTAATAATAATTCACACTAAATACAAATGGCATAAATATAAACAATTCTATTGCAATTTGTTTTCTTCAAGCTATTTATTCTAAAATCGATATTATCTTTTTTTTTTCTCATGAAACAATTTTCTTTAAAAAAAAAAAAATAGCTACGTAGTTTTAATCCAAACCACTTTAAAATCTTATAAACATTTGTTGCTATAATAATAGTAATAACAATAGTAATAATAATAATATCAATAATAACAATAATAATAATAATAATAATTTTTTTTAACTAAATTATTTTACCATGATCCATCCATATTATAAAAATTATGTTACCCACGAACTATTTTCAATCAGTATAATGATTCATATATACTTAAATAAATTATATTTATATTATTTTATTTTTACTAATGATCAAATCTTAAAAATATGATATATTCATTGTCTAGAATTTTAATATTAAATTTGCACATATTACTTATAATATTTTATGTACATTTGTGTATGTGCACGTGATGATTACTAGTAAGGTTAAAACTCAGAAAATAAATTGTCTCCAAATCATATTTATTGCTTACTAGGCCTTTGTCGAGCAAAAATCGGCACAAGGACTCGGAGCCGTTGATCACCCCAAAGCCATCAACCGTTGAGCCATAGTAAGAGCTAAAATCAAGAAATAGATAGAAAGCTCCCTGCCAAAAAGTGAAAAACAGTTCATTACAAATTTGTCTTTCATCGTGTATCTATTCTTTACAAGAGTGCTTTGGACAATTAAACGATGTGTGTGTCTATGTGTTTATATATAATTTGTCAAGTTTATGTTTCCTTTGATTAATTCTTCTCTAAATTAGTTCTTTACAGATTTTGCTCTTCAGTTTACACACAAAACAAGCTTAACAACTAATTTACACTCACTCAAACTTCTAGCTTCTTTTGACAAAAATAACAAATAAATTTTATTACAGGAAATCATTTCTTGTAAAAGCATAACCTCTTCCGAGCATTCTAAAATCTAAAAGACTTTACCTGAGGCTCTGAAATTTTCACGCCCTCTAATTCTCGGAAGCTGTTGACCAAAAAATCTCTCCTCTCACGAAATGCTTTGACCATAGTCGAGACTGCATCTCCACCTGCATAGCCCAATCCTAAAGCAGCAAGAGCCGCTTTCTGTGATATACTGCTCGCACCTGAAGTGGACTGTAGTAGAAAAAGTTGTGAATTTTATTATCCTAATACATAATTTACCAAGAGTAACTTCTATGGAAACCAACCAACTGGATAAAACCGACTTTTTCTTAGTCATTGTGAAATAATTATAAGAATGTCTTTCCGGAGTGGAGGGAGTAGTGAAATCGAGATTGATGAACAAAAAAAAAAATAGCACGATAGGATAGTAGAAACTTGAATTTTTGAGGAAGAAGAAATAGAAAGAGGTAGTGAGAGTTTATCTTTAGTATTATATACCTGACTTTGGATCTTCCCACAGGCAGCAACAAAGTGTTTTGGACCCGCAATATACCCAAGCCTCCAACCGGTCATGGCAAAAGCCTGTGCACGACACAAAATAATTTAATAAGAACTCGGGTAAAACATGATGAACAAATTACAAACACTTCTCAGATGCTCGGCCTAATTACCAAGAAAAGCAATACTCTTTCAGAATTATCAATACGCCCATGAAATTTGTGTCTCGTTTACAAATCGCACCCTCGAGATGGGGGACCATTGCTAGGTAACTATAAACCTCAATGGGAGTGTTCATAGCTCTCTGAGGGGGTATTTCTAAATTTAAAAGATAGATTTTACAAGCTAAATCTCAATGGTTGATTTCCAATTATCCCAAAAGTGGCTGCCAAACAGAAGAGATAACACGGCATTTTAACCTTTGAAAAGCCATTGACAGTCAAAGTCCTGTTCCACATGCCAGGCAAAGATGCAAAGCTCGTGTGGGTTGCTGGGGCATATATGATATGTTCGTAAATCTCATCAGAAAGAACCTGGGCCGAAAAAGTAGTTGAAAAGAAGTCAAAGTTAGAAAAATGCAAGTCAAACCATTTGTATTCGTTGGCTGATTATTAATTTAAAGCGTACTAAAAGCCTGGGATGCTTCGCCACAATTTCGGAAATCTGTTCGAGCAATTTACGCGGGTAAACTGAGCCTGTGGGGTTGGACGGAGAACAAAGAATCAACAATCTTGATTTATCGGTCAGTTTAGACTCTAGAAGCTTAGGGTCTAAGAGGAAATTTTCTGATATGTGTGTAGGAATAATCACAGGGGTTGCATCGGCTAATCTTGCCATTTCTGGGTAGCTCACCCAAAATGGGGCGGGAATTAGAACCTACAAACAAATTGTTTTCACTAGTGAGCTGGCGAAATTCAGCAATTCAGACTTTTAAAGTAGTCACAGAAGTAAGTTATTTATTTATTTATTTTTTTCAATACAAAATTTACATCTCGCTTAAACTGATATAATGAAGAACAAGGCCATTTTAGTGAGTTATTTCTTCATTATAGATTTGTTTATTTATTTAAACAATGAAACCGACAGTAAGATGATGTTCACCTAAAGCACCCATTCCCCGAGATTAATTATTATTTAGAAAGGAAAAGAAATCTGTAAGAATCATTTCCCAAATTCAATCAATTTCTTGAAGAGAAAAAACAGCAGAAAACAAATAATTCAAAAGAACTGCAAGAATTACTTTGTCCATTAAAACTTCTAAATTAAAATGGAGTAAAAAAATGATATACCTCGTCTCCGGGGGAGCAAACCGCAAGAACTGCCTGAAGAATACTTTGTTTAGCCCCATTACTCACTAAAATCTGATCCGGTGTATATGATATCCCATTCTCCTCTTTCAAATGGAAACAAATATAAGATTCTGTAATGAAAATACTACACAAACTCAACGTATTCCAGAACAATCAATACCTTTTAGCTTGTGACAAATAGCACTCCGGAGTTCCAATGTACCAGCATTAGGAGTATACCTAGTGTATCCCTCACGAATTGCTCTAATTCCAGCCTAATTTTAGGGGAGAAAAAAGCAAAATAAAACAAGGGGCCTCATAAGCAACATCGACATCCTTTGTCACAACAGACAGGCTTTATCCTTTTAACATGCTGTTAAGAAAACACAGGTAAACATATTTGTAAAAACCGTCTTTGAGGTCTGATACTATCTTGCATTTTTCCAAGTTCACTTGACCGAATATATTGGTAGCATCAAGTATCTTACACTTACAACCCTCAATATTTTGAAAATATTAGAAATAAGCTCATACAGTATGGGTGTTATTATCTGTAGTAGTCAGAAATGCTGAAGGATGGAAGGGTAAGGAAATCATGTAATATATAATTATTCGGAAAGTTCATGGATGTAGCTAAAAGAATATTTGAAAGACATCAAAGTTAGCTCCCACCAAATACCAGGTGAAAAATGTAAAATCTAAGAAGAATGCAACCTCAAGGCCAATCACCAAATTTCTCAATGCAAGCTAAGCTTTTTTTCTCAAAAAAACAAAATGGGCAATCCTAAACACACGTCATTTTTACATATGAAAATGAATGTAAAATCTCAACACAATTACCTCAGCAATTACAGCTGGGGTATCGAAATCAGGCTCGCCAGCGGCTAAACGAATAACGGGCACACCAGCTTGTGCGAGTGCAGTTGCCTGGTCTGTAATAGCCACTGTCTTTGAAGGCTTAACTGAATTTACTCTAGGGCTCAAACTGATATCAACCTCCATTTTGTCTGTCTCGGTCTCGGTTTTCAGAACAGCACTAACTCTCTGCAAATGCCTCTCTCTTTTACGAAACGATCTATTTGGAAATTAATGTTATAAGTTAGAGATTCACACAGATAGTTACTAGCTGCAAAGTGATTGACTAGGATCTCGTGGGATTTACTAGCACAGACAAGTTCATAAAGCTTAAACTATTCAGTATGCAACAGAATCACCAACTTACAGATAACCCAAGTGAGAATCAAAAGTTTCGAAAGTGCTTTATTGGTGTGTGGAAGTTAAACTAGAAGCAGGATGAGGAAATCGAAAGCATCCCCGTCTTCGACTTTTCAAGTATCATCAGATGCAGTAGATTCCTAAGCAAAAGCTTGACATTTGCAAGACTAAGGCATGATAAATTTCCAACTAATCCCAAGCATTGCATATTTTGAAATTCCAAACACTCCTTAAAGAACTTGGCACACATATATCAATAATGTAGCCTTCCTGAAGGTTTTATTTCAAGAACTCGCGACCAACATAACCGCAAAAGCCGGCGAATGCCGGTTAAAAAATCGAAAGCAATAATTAACCAAATGTTACATTTCTGTGATACCCTGTTAATCTACCATCAAACTGCAAAACCACAGAGCACAACGCAATCACACACTAATCTAGCTTGGCAAAATACCCACAAAGCAATTTCATTTCCCAAACGTGCAAAACTGACTAAAACTACACATACAAGAACAATAAACAGACAATTAAGGACATTTACACAAAAAAAAAAAAAAAAAGCTTACTTGAACGAGAAAGACTTCAATTGGGAAGAGAGTGAGATCAAATTCGAAGCCCTTGTTGAGTGTTGATGAGATTTGAGCAGCGGCTGCGCGGATGAAAGTCGCGCCTGCAGAGTGGAAGAGGTGGCAGCCGCCATCTACGCCTGAGTAAAAAAGTTTGGTGGGCTTTTGCCTTATTCAGAATTTATATCAAACAAGACTTGCCATTGTTTAATGTTTCCAATAAATAAATATATATATATATATATATATATATAGTGGTGAGATGGTTGGTGAGAGTTGAGAGTGACAGGCAGATGATGACATTAACGGAGATTGGTTGGTGGAAGACGGAATTTCTTGGGGGTAGTTGAGACTGCACCAAAAGGATGGTGGCTATGGCGTAGAGAGCGGTAAGAATCTTTCACATGGTTCCGAAGATTGCTTGGGTTTTTTTCAGTTTAACCAGTTGAGGGAGAGCTTTGTTGCCCTTCTACCCGACTCGATTCCGAATTAGTTGGTTCCTCTGCAGATCCGAAAACGACGTCGTGTGAGAAACAGAGTTGGTAAATCTTGAAAAAGTAAAAATCACCATTACTGGATTTCAACTTTCAAGGTGGATAGGGTTAGGGCCATGTGGTTCTAGGAATAAGAAGAATCGGAGCTAATGGGCCTACACCCAGTTTTTCACGAGCCCAGAAACTTCTTCGGGATGGGCCTGATAATTTCTTAACCAAATCTTGGGACAGAGAATGGCCCTTTTTTTTTCAAAACCATATCACATATATTCAACCAGCTAAACTCCCAACTAGAGTTGGGAGGACTACACGGACAGACATTAGCTTAGAACCTGTTGGAAAATAAGTTACAAAAAATTAGGTTTGACTCGATTTTGACTGATTTTTTTATGATTAAATATTTAATTCGAGTTGAATTAAATTGTCTAGAAAAAATTCTACGTTCCGAGTAGATACGCGTGATATATATTTATTTTCTCAAAACTGATTTTCGATAAGTGGGAAATAAATTAAAAAAGTTAGTCATAAATGGCACACAACACGTTGGTGGTGGCATTTGAATGGTCAAAAGTTCTATCTCACATAGGACTTTTAAATGATATTAACTCTTTTTATTATAATAAAGAGAGTTAGAGAGGTCACAACAAAACAAAATTATGCACCGAGTGTTGGTGTTGGCTACAGCCACGCGCACGCACGCGTGCGTGCGTGCCCGCCGGCCGGCCGAATCGACTCGAGCCTGGGCTGGGCCTTGGTACTTGGTACTTGACAATTGGACTGTGGGGTGGACTTGGGCGGCCTTGGTTGGTTAGTATGTGAATCGGATTTGTGACCCAACCCGAATGTGACATCACTAGGTTCACTGAACCTGTACATATCTTTTCACCTATTGTTTTGGTGGTTACCAGGTGGTGGACACCTGAAACATTTTGTAATGAACAACAACCATGAATGGTTGTTAGTGATTTGGCTGTTACAAGTTAAAGAGTCATCCCTTTATGACTGGATGTCCTAATGAACGTAAGCGTTGGACTAGGTATAAGTATATCACTCTATATATGAATTGTGTATTAACCTCAAATCAAAGGACTATTACAACATTCCACACACACTAGTCAAAGGACTATTACAACATTCAACAGACACATAAACAAATAGTTTATCAGTAGGGTATATCAATACTCTCCAAAGTTTTACGTGTCCATCACGAATAACAATTATTCATAGTAGTAATACGTACTATATATATTGTTCAAGAATATGATGCAGACCACATGTCAATCTATCACCTATCATTAATTCATTTCTTAATAATTATCGATTGAGGAGATTTGAGAGTTATCATTTATAAATTAACATCTCACTCTGTTAATGACAGTATTAACTCAAGGAGATAATTAATTAATAAATTAGAAACAACAAATAATTATTTCATTAATTGCAATATCATAATTATAATCGAATACAATATTAATTTGATTATGTAAATATATCTTTAAAAAAATTACCTCTAGGATACATATATCAACAAGATTCATTAAATCAGTTCAGAATCGCTGATTCGTTGTATCGACCCATATATATTATCGAGTAGGTTCAGGTTTATAAAAACGCGGCCCAGAACCGATGGTTTCGACCCGACATCGGCCAAAATTGGCCATATGTATTTTCATGACTTCCGTCTTAAAATGAAATCTATTAATAATGCAGCCCATAGCCCCATCTATATATATAATTGCTAGCTAATCATAAAAACCTCATAAATAAAACCTAATTAATAAAACCTCATTTATTTTCCCTCCAAAAAAAGTTACAAAATTTGTCATTCATATTTTGCCTTTCACATTAATACACCTTTAAGTATAATCATGTAAAAAAAATTAATAGCATTAACTATTATTAATATAATAGCAAAAAATAGCATTAGCTACTACTATAATAATAATAATAATAATAATAATAATAATAATAATAATAATAATAATATCTTGAAACAATAAAATTGTTTATACTTATTAATTTATATTTAGTGTGAAATATTATGAGTTGGTAATAGCATTAACTATTATATAATATAATAGCAAAAAAATGCATGACTACACTTAATAGGGTGCATTAATGTGAAAGGTAAAATATGAATGACAAATTTTGTAACTTCTTTTGGAGGGAAAATAAATGAGGTTTTATTAATTAGGTTTTATAAATACATGATTACACTTAATTAGATTTTATGAATGATATTATTATTATTATTATTTTAATTTTGTATTTTATGAAACAATTTTCTTTAGAAACAATTAGTAAATAGTTTTAATAGTATAGTAAAAAAACTTTAGAATCAAATAAGAATAGTAATAATAATATTTATAATAATAATAATAATAATAATAATAATAAAGTTTTCAAGTAAATTATTTGACCACGATCCCTCCAAATTATAAAAATTACATTACCCACAATTTTTTTTTTTTAAATCAATATAGTGATATGTACTCAAATAATTTATATAAATATTATTTTATTTTTACTAATGATTAAATCTTGAAAATGTGGTATGTCCATTATCTAGAATTTTAATATTAAATTCACATATCTTGAAAATGTGATATGTTTATTATCTAGAATTTTAATATCAAATTCACATATCTTGAAAATGTGATATGTTTGTCATCTATAATTTTAATATTAAATTCACATATATTACTTATAATATTTTATGTGCATCTGTGCATGTGCACAGGATGATAACTAGTATATATAATTCGACGAACAAATTATATATAACTAGTATATATAACTAGTATATAGAACCGGAGACCTATTGAGCTTTTATTGAACAGAATTATAGTCCATCATTATTATCTGTCCAACCATGTACAGCAACATCACGTGGAATAATAATAATAAAAAAATAAATAATCCAGAGGGTAATGACTTTTTCCCTTTTTTTATCCATTCATATAAAATAATTCGGAAGGGAACTTTAACAAAAAGTATCATATTTTAAAAATTTCATAAACAAAAATAGAAAAATGCTAAGGTCATGTTACGGTACTATTACGTCGGGATTTGTAACCGTTAGATCATCATGTAACTATAAAAAAATAATTGATCTAACGGTTACAAACTCCGACAACGTAGCATTTTCCCCAAAAATAATAAAGTATGCATTTTTATTCATAAAATATAACAGGTCCACCTGCCTAACGATAAGACCGACTCAAACAATAGTTTATTTAATAATTAATTTTATTTATCGTTGAACATGTCATGACTCATGAGAAGCATATATGGTTTTTCTATTCGTTTAGAGCAACTCCAACGCGAGTTGCAAATTTTTCTCAAATAGCACAGAAGATGCGCTCTAGTCCGGCATTAGATTTTTGCGTTATTGCAGATAAATGAACAGTCTGGCGCAGCACTGTAGCTGATATAGCCACACTGACTCATAACGGTTCATATCATCACGGTCCGAAACTATCAAGTCGACTTCAACTCAGCTGACTCCGCCAGTAAGGTTCCACGATACAGTCAAGAATCCCGGCTCTCGACCGAGTCGACGTACACCTGTCGACTAGAATAAGTCGACCTCTGGAAAGACAACGGTCAGACGTATCAGGGTCCACTAACGGTTGAATGCAATCCAGTCGACTCGACTCAATATCTCAGGTCGACTGAAGGAGTCTTGTAGTTCGTGGTTCTCGATAGCTTTGACACACCTCAGCGTATTGAGGAAGAATTAAGGATAAGAAGGAAGCTAAGGAAGGATCCAGATGCTGACTAGGAAGTAGGCAGAGGTATTCTGGACATTTCCGGTAAGTCGGCCGGGGCAATTTGGGGACTTCAGGTAAATGTTGCACTTCTATATAAAGGACTGAGGTAATCCCAAAACCCTAACTCCCATTCATTCCATATTCTTTTCATTACTGCTGCTGCTCTCAGGGCAGCTCTCTTGATCTTTTTCACACACTGACTTGAGCGTCGGAGGCTCTACGCCGGAAACCCCTCCGGCGTTGAGTTCTTGCAGGTGTTCTTGCGGCTCAACAACGGTTCGAACGCCATCACATCAGATCTAAGCTCGTTCACACCGGTTCATCACAGATCCGGACGTTTTCCCATTGGGCCGTTCCAGATCTGAGCAGAGACCCATCATTTTGGCGCCGTCTGTGGGGAGTTCTTGAAGGAAGTAAGAGCTTTACACCTAGTTTGGATCTGTTACCGATGGCTGACAAGGAAGGACCACAGAAAAACNNNATGTTAAATAATTTTGTGCAATGTATTTTTTATGCTAAATATTTTTGTGCTTTTTATTTATTGATGATTATAATTTCATTTTGTAATTTTAATATTAAAATGGTACCATATGAACAAAAGTTTAATACATTCAAACAAGTATATTTCATTCAAACAAAAAGTTTACAATAAACGTAAATTATAAAATACACAAATAAAAACAACATAATATTAAAATTAATTTATTTGAATTAAATGAATAAAAAATAATATATTTAATGTAGAATAAAAGATAGAAATAATGGCTGAAGACAAATGTTTTACTCTACTCTAGAATAAGATAAAATCTGCGGTAGAATAGAGATAAGGGCTGAAAATGATCTTACGAGAGAACAGAGACGGTCAAG